CTATAATACAATACTGCCTGTTTTATACACAAATAACAAATATTATCAAGAAACACTAAAACGATTTACCGAAATATTTTTCAATCCCGGTCCGTCACGGCATCCCGTCCGAATAATTAAATAAAAAACAAACGCAGTCATACACTAACGAAGACCAACTGGAGGCTAGCCTCCTCTAACGCTATAATTTCCGCAACTGAAATTACAAATCGGGGCGTATGTCGCTGGTTGCATCGGTCTCGTGGGGCCTGTGATTTTAAAGCGGTCGGAGGCTTGGCTCCCTTGCAACGTATGGCATTAATTATTTCGGATTGATGGTTTATTCGTTCATGGGCGGTGCGTTTGAGTTTTGTTGATGCAGTATACGGTGTGGTACGTACTACGTAGTGAGTGATAGTATTTTTTCGGGCATAATATGTATTTATATTGAAAATTAATGGTGAAATAATGATAACCAAGCATTTTTAGAAAAAAAATAATCATAGTTATTTGTCAATATCTTTTAATTTATTGCGATGAATAGCCTCAAATTTTATGGGGAGGCTAAGCCCTAAGTATGGCCAGGAATCCAGACCAGAGACTACTTGGGTCAGTCTTCCTATTGAGGAGAGTCGTTTTTTGCAATTTGCTACCAATTTACATGAATATTACTGGAGTTTTTTCCCAACACCAAATGGTTATTTTTACACCTCGACACGTGTTTCGATCACCAAGTGATCATCTTCAAGAGGAAGATAAAACTAAAAACTACTTAAAACTAAAACTACTTATACTAATCAGGTACATCATACAGGTAGGTAATCAGTAATACCACCCATACAAGTGTACCACCCTAAACTGATTTTACAATTGGCCTTTCTATTATTTACAATATGTCCTTATGTATGTTTAAATGTTACAGATATATATATAGAACAATTTTCAGGTATATAAAATTAGTTTCACAATATTGCCTATCTAAATATATTTACAATGTGTCTTTTTGTAGTAATCAGTAAACCCAACAATATTATTTCAACAAGCTATATATGCTATTTGGTATTTGTCCGTTGTCGTTATTCATAATATTATTATGTTTACTTATTTCTACACTCTCATAGGCATTTAGCTGCCTGTTGTTGTTAACTTTTCTAACTAATCTTAAAGAACTGAAGTCTATGGAATGGTTTTGTTGCAAAATATGATGATCAGCAGTCGCCCATCATCTTCACGGCCCGAAATTTCCCAACTTTTCCAATTGGAATAAACAGCGAAAAGTTGGGAATTTTTTAAAATTGTCACTTCAAAATTTGTGGACTGTTCAGGACTGTTCTCTAACTTGGGAGAAATTAAACTTTTTTGAAGTTTTCAAACAACTCAGAATTTCACAGTATGG